TTTTAAATTTTTTATGTTCTTGTTTGTGTTGATTTTTTATAATATTTATAATATTTCTCTAGTTGCCATTGTGATGCTTGTTGATTTTACACAAACAATAATTTTCTTTATTATTATTATCATTGTTATGACTTGACATCATTTATGAGAGACAGCATTGAATAGACATGCTGAAGGAATAGCAACTATCCTGATGACAAGTGAAATTAATACTAGTCTTGACACAAGTCCTTGTTCAAGAAGCTGTGAGCTGAGAGTGTCCATCTTTCCTGCATGTTATGTTGCAGCTATTCCTGTTCTTCCAGGCTGTTGTCATTCATCATCATTGCATATCATAACATTAATTAATTGTTTGTTTTTTAAATAAAATAAAATAACACACTTGATAAAACAGTAACATGTAAGATTAATACCTTCTTTTAGCTGGAAACCTCCACTAAAGTATTGCAGTAGTTGATTCCAAGCATAGCTTGGTAAAAAAATAAATTGCTTCTTCCAGAGCTGCAGATCTGCATCTGAGCATGCGCGACCACACCCAAATTTTGGAGCACATGCTTCTTTAATTAACAAAATGGCGGCATGCAGCTAAGATGGCTCTATCCAGCAGTCAGAGCATCACTTTTTCTTTACTTGAAGAATGATCTGATGGGACATGGACCTGCGCATAGACTGTTGGAATAGATTGGTGTAAGAATTATTCTTGTAGCACCAACTGATACTGAGATACACACCGACAACTGGATTGACAGGACTTCTTGATGAAGATGAAGATAAAAAAAAGTGGCTGAACAAAACGGTCGGTCCGCCGATTTTTGGTTTTCTTCTTAGACAAGGTCTAGAGCCACGCTATGGGTACCATTGGAGTCCTCTGGACAAGATGAGGTCCTCTATAAAGTCTGGTAAGCATAGGAGCTCGTTTTCCCGGTATAGCAAGGCTGCAAAAGTCGTGGCAGCCATTTTTATTGGGGGTGAATCCTACTTAGTAACGCTACCGCGTTACTAATAACGCTACCGCGTTACTAATAACGCTACCGCGTTACTAATAATTATTGTCTGTGCATTCCTCTCCCTTTGTCCCATCTACCTTGGTACTAAAGAAGCAAGTTGGCGGCAGGTTATAGGAATAATCATAGGCGGTTCGAGGATTGTGGAAGCAGGTGGGCGAGGGAGAGAATAAAATGGCGCGCGAAGCGCGCCGCGATTTTGACCACGCCCACTATTTCCCGCTGCGCGGAACTACATTTTCCCGTAATATTAGGGGCCTCGCAATATTTAATTTTTCAACCATTGTCATCCTCTGTGCATGTGCCGTGAGTGTGACTTCGTGATTGACTATGAGACTTTAGTCTCGCTAGCCAGACCATTCCCCAGCCTACAGCCATTTACGTCCACCCCAATGACTGTAGGCTGGGGAATGGTCTGGCTAGCGAGACTAATCAGACTCAGCATCACTAGAAGTAGAAGTATCACAAGGAAGATCATAATCATTAGTCTCTAACTCTGTGAAATCAACTGACACTAGATCTGGCTCATCTATAGAAATTTCAGGTAGTAAATTTTGTGTGCAGCTGCCATTAACATAACTGATGATTTATGACAAGCAGTACTTGCTTATTTATAGATCTATACATGTTAGCTATTAACCTTACTTCTTTCATCATCATTGGTATTTCTCTTTTTTGGTTTAGGAGGCAAGAAAGAATTATGCTGACGCTTGGTTGCCATTGCAAGAAATGATTACAAAATTAACATTCAAAATATTCATGAAAAGTTAATTTTAATAACAATAATAATTAATTTTAATGATTATGATGACTTCCTTTTCCTGTCAAAACTTCAGGGTGGGCATTGCCCCTTAATGCCCACCCCTGGAACCGCCTATGGGAATAATGGCAGAACTGTAATGCCTCTGTCAATATTAATGGCTAAAAAATCAAACGTCATTAGTCTCGTAACCTGCAAGTACAGCCATACTTTTCACAATATTATTACATTGTGTTAATTATTATTATTGGGTGGGGTCTGTATACACTTCTTGAAATGCAGATAGACTTTAGTATTTTGAATCCATGTGTGTGATAGCAACTTTGCTCGCATTAATTTTTTACAATAACTCCTGGATTTAGGATCAGGGTTTGTTTTGTGTAGTTTATGTACTTAATTTTATGTATTACCTGATTTGTTGTACTGAAGGTGATTGTGACGAGTTGGACTATTTCAAATGGTTAAAGGTTTATTTTCAACGGATATAATAGTAGATGAAGGAATATCAAACCCACATGTGGAAGTGTCAACACCGGAGGAAGTTACAGACACTTCTAGTAAGTACAACTATTTTATCGGTGTTGTCATAAAAGTTCTCTTTACAAGTGTTACAGTTTTGGTGTCCTAAGACTGGTCTTGAGATTGAAGAAATTCCTTATGACCTTTTTTTTTAACACTGAAAATAACTAATATATACATAATATTTTGATTCATCATGATACTTAATGATAAAATCAATGATACTTTAGTTTAATGATATTTGAAATGATCATAAAATGATGATTAATACTTCAACAACATCTCTAAAGTCATAAGAACTCCTTGTGGTCTTACTTGGACAATCTCAAGCTACATTATAAATATACTTAATTGGTTTTGAGAGACTCATCTCCTTATTCATGGCTTCCTTCCACTTTTAAAGGTTGTGCAATGGGCTGTCCCTGTTTGTCATTGTTGTCTTCCGTTCCTGTTGCACTTGAAGCCTCAAACTGGACAGTTTGGTGTCCGTGATGGCCCGAAACTTGATTGTATCTGGACCAAGTATAGTAGTTTCTTTCAACTCAAGACTATAGATCTTCACGAGACTAGATGTCATTGGGGATACTCAACGTGATTGTGACACAGAGGACACTACTGCACAGCTAAAGTAGGTATATATATGACGAGACCTTCAAAGCACAAGTGCTCCTTATCATTCAGGAATTGAAGAGGTTGCAAAGAGGCTAAACATTAGAGTGAAGAAAGTGAAGGTCAGCGTGCTCAACACTGCATGTACCTGAATGTGGGAATTGGCTTTAAACTGAATTTTTTTCATAGTTATAATTGGCTTTTGTATCTATTTAATTTTGAGTATTCTACTTGATTGATTAATTGAAGTTTTAACTGCCCAGTGCTATATTATAAATTGCAATGCTTATATAGGCATTATAATCATGTTTTGGAGACAAATCATTTTAGCATCAAAAATTATGTTATAACAGCACGCTAGTTTATCTGTGAGCTGTACTGCAACTGTTCATGGTATATGGGGTATTGGATGGAACTGGGTTGTAGCCGTCACCTAAAAAACTGCTACTGTAAAAGCTCTGCTGTGCTGTATTCCTCCAAGATATAAATTATATTGTATATGCAGTAACCAATGTACTGAACTAAAAAGTGACAGCAGTATCTTGTGGCAAAAAGGTATAGATCTACCGGTATTTAGTGCAACTAGTATTACTATGATACTATGTTAAAAGCAATAGGTGTATGCATGTATTGTCATACTGGAACATAATAAACTGTTATACTCATTTTACATGTCACCATTAAGTTACTTTTTTACCCACACATGCAGTTTTAAGGCAGATGCACCTTAGGAATGCATCTTTTCAAACATGATTTAATCTGAATATTTCATTTTAGGACTTGGGACAGAGTCCTTTCTTTCAATAAATATATCTTGCTGAAATTCAAAATGAGTATGCATTTGAATGCCTCATTATACAATTGTACTCACCCCACCCTATAATTTGTTAAGTCAATTGTTTGATTTAAATAGCATTAATCATAATTGCATATGCATTGGCATTACATTAGTTGCTATAATAATATGTAAAACATGAGTGCTTTCTTTGAAAGCGGTAAGTATATAACAAAAGTGCTTCACCCCTGTCTTGTTTTTATATTTAAACAAGAACATAAAAAATTTTAAAAAAACAAGCTGGAGTAGGGTTCTAGAGCAAGTTCATAAAAAAATAATGCTAACCAGGGCAAGTAGGATTCTGATAGACTACCAATGAAAATCCAAAATGAAAATCCTACTCTCGTGACGCAAATTCTACTCTACATTGTAT